AAGGAGGGGAGGCTAGACCGTCCAAATTCACAGCCTCTTTTTTTCCGGTCTTCCTGGTCTACCAAGGACCCGGCCCGCCGAGACTGGGGAGTCTGGGTCCTCCAGAAGACCCGGCCTGTCAGTTTGGACACAGCCTATGAGTGAAATAACATTAAAAAATAATACTGGTGGGCTCTGTAAACATTTTATTTTCTTATAATACTACTTTTTCAGTTAACCTTAAAGCTCATACAAATTTTCAAGTCTTTTTTTCTCAACACATTCTGACATAAATATTTCAGTTTGAAATGTAATCTTCCCAGCTGTCTTCAGTGTTCTGGTCAGTGGTGGTTCCACTGTAAATTGTGTCTATGGAGAAAAACTAAATTAGTCAGAACATCATTGCAACATTTTCAAAGGACTAGAAAAATATACTGTAATTTCTATAAATGAAGCTTAACATTAAGAACTGAAAGTCAGCTAGCAGCACATCATCACTTCATTACTACTTAAACTCAAACTCCATGTGGCAATCATAACAAGAGCAACCTTTGATCATGACACTAGGAAAAATATTTTAGGTTCAGGTAAAGTGATAGTCCGTAATGTTATGTATGAGACTCTTATTTTGAAATGTTCAGTTACCGAAACAGGAAGTGTTAGCACAGGATAGCGATTTTAACAGTTTGATTACGTGGTTTTATGGGGAAGCTTAAAAAAGTTTTTACCATAGGTAGGTGTAATAACCGGAAACACAACACGGTCTATCTTATACAAAGTTTATATTACCTTCACTCATTAAGATCTATACCATGTCATACTCACGAGTACTAGCAGTAAATGCTATTAAATGCTACATGTAAACGAAAGGAAATGGGCAGTCCAATCAAAATGGTTTGAGGGCGGAGTCAGACGTCCGACCCCGCCCATTATTTGACCCCGCCCCGTTCCATGGTCTGCAACTAAGGTTTACTCCAGCCACAGGTCTCACTTGTTGCTGGGCTGCAGATATTTATAGTTGAGTGAAACTGCAGTGGATAATGTATTTATTTTTATTCACAATTGTGTTTGCAGCTAAGGCCACAGCCTGAAGCGTCATGGCCTCGGCCCTCTTTGAYCACAGCAGCGTCCTGCAGGAGGAGCTCACCTGTCCCGTGTGCCTGGACCTGTACCGGGACCCCCACCTGCTTCCATGCGGCCATAACTTCTGCAAGTCCTGCCTGGACCGCTTGAAGCGGCAGTCGGATCGAGGTCGCCTCCGTTGCCCCGAGTGCCGCGACAGCCACCGCTGCGGCACCCACTTCCCCAAGAACTTCAAGCTGGCCAACATCGCAGACGACTACCGCCGCAGGCGCCGAGCGACCGCCGCAGACCCCGTCATTTTCCAGGTGTCGTCTCAGACAGTGCCTCAGGTCACGGCCGTCTCCACTGTGCCGTGCGACTACTGTCCTTCAGTGCCCGCCGAGGCTTCGGGAKTCAGCAGCTCTGCGGACGGGTGCTCCGCTGCTGCTTTTCAGGACGGGGGCGACAAGCAGGGAGCCGCAGCCAGCTCTGGRCTTGCGGTCAAAACATGCCTCAAATGTGAGGTGTCGATGTGCCCGGAGCACGTGAAACCACACCTGGAGCTGCCGGCGTTCCGCGAACACCCTCTCACTGAACCCATGAGCAACTTCTGGAAGAGGAAGTGCCTGGATCATGAGGAGCTTTACAGGTAGGAGGTGTGGCTKACTGTATGAGGAGGAAGTGTTTCCTGTTGTTGTCATACAGATTTTAAAGGGGCAATATCATGTAAAATCAACTTTTTTGAGCTTTATATCATGTTATAATGTTATCCTCTCATCAAAAACATGCCCACAGTCTTACTCATTCATGCATGTTTGAGAAATACTGTAGTGTCCTGAGGCAGCCAGGAATGGGCGGGACAGAAGTGGAAGGAGGCTTTTAAAGAGAAAGAGGCCATTTTAAGGTGTTTAGAAGAGGAAGTGATGAGAAGTCAAGTTTATTTTTGATTTAAACATAAACCAACATTTCAATAACAACTAAATGTGACATAATTACTTTATCATGGAATGCCTGAGAAACTCATGTTGCCCCTTTTTTAAATAGGATTTTATGATAAATGATCCATGGATTTTGCGACAAGTTTTGATCCATCACTATTTAAGTTCTGTATTTAATACTAATACATGGTTGTACCCAGAGTTGTAAAGTAACTAAGTACAAATACTTTGTTACTGTACTTAAGTAAAAATTTTGTTTATTCGTACCTTTCCGCCTACTTTTTACTTGCGTTTTCACACAATTRTCTGTAATTTCTATTCCTTACATTTTTAAACAAGGTAAGAAGTAGAAACTCGTTAGTTTTATTTCATTTTGGCTCATTATTGTTAAAAAAAGTATTGTCCTGATAAATTGTGCCTCCTGGAAAGAATGTATTTAATTGTAGTTGGATGAGAAGTATAAATATTTACCATTCTGACACCAAGTTGTACACAATCCATCACAGGTGCACGGCTTTAGAAAAAAATATGTTTTTGGAGAGGTCACCTCCCAATAAATGTCATTTTGGAAAACCTAAGTGCTCATTATAACTCAATACTTTTAATACTTAAGTACATTTTATGTCAGAAATTTTACTTTTGATACACAAGTACAAAAAATCAGATACTTTAAGACTTTTACACTTTTACTCAAGTATCACTTTGAGGTACTTTATACAACACTTCTTTGTAAACTCTGGTAACCCACAAAGTTTAGATGCATTTGTTGTAATTATAATGCTGTACAGCAGGTCATTGAAGTATACCGCGGTGTGTTTAGGGTTGACTTTGTTTTTCTTTGTTCTTCATTACCAGATACTACTGCATGGATGACAAGATGTTGGTTTGCAATGCCTGCACCATAGAGGGAGGACATGTAGGACACACAATCAAAACCCTGAAAAACACAATGAAAGATTTTAAGGTATAGTTAAAGACAATTGTTGACAACAAACTGTTGCAAACAGAAATTTACTCTCTGCATTGAACCCTTATGGAACTGTGAACACACACTTATACAAACAAAGCAGTTTAAACACACAACACAGTGTCTGTGCTGACCCACTTGTTTTCTGAGAGTCAGAGAAGCAAAAGGRTGACCACCATGCTCTAATGGTCTCTGTAGACTGAGAGCTGCTCACGTTTTCTTTAAAACCATCAGTAATAACTGTTCAGCTCCTCATGAAACCTAAAAGGATCTCTAAATATTATGAAGTTAAATAAGTTTGGTGATGTTGTTCTGTGGTGGAGSTGTACACTGAAAACACTAATTCAGGACTCTTGGACCAGCTGAAATATAGTGTGATGTCAAAACTAGGAGTGTAAGAAAATATCGATACACTGAAATGTCGCAATATTTCATATCGATGCACTGAAATGTCGCGATATTTCATTTCCCGATACT